TTGAGACAGGGTCTCGCTCTGTAGTTCAAGGTGGCCTTAAACCCACTACATAGTCCAGGCTGGCCTCAAACTTGTGGCAACCCTCCTGCCTCAGCCTCTCAAGCTCTGGGATTGCAGATGCATGACACCACACCCATCTTAGTTTTGTGAGTTTTGACAAATCATAATATTGCATTGTCACGCCTAATGGATAAGGCTGTTACTGACAGGCACGGCAGGAAACCACAGAAAAGTACAAAGACAGCAAATCATGTCCCAGCTGCTACAGTTCCAGGAAGCCTGATAATACCCACAGCCACCACTGTGCCAAGAAGTGTGGTCTCACTCTCTTTGCCTCCAAATTCCTCAAGGCAGGAAACTCCTCCCCTCCCCTTTAAAACTTTTGTTCTCACCTCTCTTGCTGCGGGGTCCCCTTCTCCCAGACTCAGCCAGAGGGAATAAACCAGCCTCCCTCTCTCCGCTCTCCCCAGCCGCCTCCCTTACATGTCTAACCACCACTGCAAGCCAGGAACAGAGCCCTTCCATCACCCCAGAAAACTCTCTCAGGCTGCTTCTTTTTAGTTAAACTTTCTACACCCCAGAAACGTCTGGCGACCACTGACACCTTCTCCCTCACTCTGGTTTTGCCATTTCTGGGAAGTCATTTGAACGGGATCAAGATATGTAGCCTTTGGAATCTAACTTCTTTCATGCAGCACGATACATTTAAGATTCATCCATGTTTTAACATACATCGAAGTTCCTATTAGCCAGGCACAGTAGCACCCATCTGTAAGGCCAGCTACTCAGGAGGCTGAGGCAGGAGGATCACACATTCAACTTCAGCCTAGAACCTAGTGAGAACCTATCTCTAAATTTTTAAAAAATATATATTTTTTGAGACAGGGTCTCACTATGTAGTGCAGGCTGGCCTCAAATTCCGCCTCAGCCTTTGAGGGCTGGAATTGCGGGTGTGTGCCACCACACCCAGTTCAAAATTTAAAATTTCAAAGGAACTAGGGATGTTGCTCAATGTGAAGGCGCTGGGTTCAGTGTCTGTGCCGGGTGTGGTGGCGCACCCCTGTCATCCCAGCACTCAGGAGGCTGAGGCAGGAAGATCGCTGTAAGTTCGAGACCAGCCTGGGCTCCATAGTGAGTTCCAGGTCAGTCTCGACTACATAGTGAGACCCTGTCTCAAAAAGCCAAAAAAAAAAAAGAAAGAAAAAAAAAAGAAACTGTCTGTGACCGTGACTTGTGATGGCAACTGGGGAAGAACTAGAAAGTCTTATCACCTACAAGGAGGTCATGATTGTAAACCTCCTATGAAAGGCGGATTGTAGCCCAGCCGGGGTCGGTCGTATGGCACAGCTCTTGGTGCTGACCGACGCTTTGCTAGCAAAGGAAACATTTTTTTATTTTATTTTACCCACTCCTGCATCTCTGTGTCACTTACCAGTTCCTTCGTCAGCAGCTCATCGAGTGATGATAATTTCACAGGGTGTAGATCTGTGGCATCTTTGTGTCCTAACTGACCCCTCCGGGGGCACTGAGTTACTGCTCCGAAGGAAGGTGTGGACTCAGTACGGTTTTTTTTTTGGATCAAACCCGGATCCTTGTGCTTTCAAGGCAGGCAGCAGAACCACTGAGCTAAATCTCTGGCCCCATGGACTCAGTCATTTTATTGCCTCCCTCAGGACAGAAATTTGCACCTTGAGGTATCCTATGTATCTACCATCATCTCCTTCTCCATCCTAGAACAGAAACAGAGAAAGCAAGCAGCACAATCTCCACACCGAATCCAAAAGATCTGTAATCGTCACACTTTCCCTTCCATCACTCTTGCTTATTCTGTGAGAATGAGTCCCAGAAAATTGAAGAAAGCCAAAAGGAGGCTGGGCATGGTGGTACACAGGCCTTGATTCCCAGAACTCTAGGAGGTCGAAGCAGGAGGATCTCAAATTCAAGCCCAGACTGGGCAATTTAGTGAGATGCTGTCTCAAAATAAAAATAAATAAAAATTTAAAAGACTGGGGAGGTAGGTCAATGGCAAAGCCCTGGGTTCAACCCCAGTACTGGGAAAAAAAAAAAAAAAAAAAAAAAAAAAAAAAAAAAAAAAAAAAAAAAAAAAAAAAAAAAAGGAAAAGAAAAAGAAAAAGAAAAAGGAAAAAAAAAAGCCAGGGGCTAGGGATTTAGCTCAGCGGCGACACACCTGTGCCTCACAAGCGCAGGGTCCTGAGTTCAATCCCCAGTACCAAAATAAATAAATAAATAAAAACCAGGAAGGAAAGAAAAAAATGTAAACAAACAAAAAGGCCGGGGATGTAGGTGGATCGTAGAGAGCTTGCTTAGCATGTGCGAGGCCCCAGGTTTAATCTCCAAGCTTGCAAAGAAAAAGAAAACTGAGTCTAAAACCCCCATGCTTTAGGCACACAATCATTTCTTTTTATTCTTTTTCTGTAAAAATAGAAAAACAGCGTTCATTTGTAACACAATCCTTGTCCTCGAGCAGGAAAGCCCTCACCCCAGCTTGTGACCAGCTGCCCCATACCTGTCCCCACCTCCACCCAGGTCCCCTGAGGGACTGAGAGGCACAAGAGAGACAGAGCCAGCCCCTGTCCAGGGTCACCTTCCTGTCCCCGAGTCCCTGAGACCCCGTGCCTGACACCTGCAACTTAAAGGACGGGAGGTTGACTTTGGGCCCGCGGTTCAGTCCTCAGTTGCCTGGCTCCGCAGCAGAAATGGAGGCAGGAGGCCTGGTGGAGGTCAGCTGCCCAACTCACGGTGACCAGGAAGTAGAGGGAAGGGAGGAGCGGGGGACAAGAACGTGCTCTTCCCGGCACCACCCCAGCCCCACATTCAGCTGCCGACACAAGTTAGGGTGAACCCAGTGATGAGTATAGCACCCCACAGTCCCAAACACGACACCGATGGGGAACATTTTAGAGCTAAACTGCAATGATATCCAATCACCAGACAGAAACCACATAATTTTGTTTTGTCTTGTTGTACCGAGGATCGAACTCAGGATGTTGAGTTTGTGAAACAAGCAGCGGCCCCACTGAGCTAAATCCCCTGCACAATTTTTTTTTTTTATTTTTGAGACAGGGTCTCACTATGTAGTCCAGGTTGGCCTTGAACTCACAGCAGTCCTCCTGCCTCAGCCTCCTGAATAAAGCAGGCAACACCACATCAAGCTACACACGTTATTTCAACAGAGAAATTTTAATATAAGAATTGTTAAACTGGCTTTGTTTTATGGATTGAACCCAAGGGATTCACAATGATCTACATCCCCAACCCATTTTGTTTTGGTTTGGATGGTTTGGCTTGGTTTTTCTGAGAAAGGGAGTCACCATGTAGGTCAGGTTGACCTTGAACTCACTGTGTATTCCAGGCTGGCCTTGAACTCATAGTGATCTACCTGCCTCAGCTTCCCAAGTGCTGGGATGACAGGCATGTGCCACCATACCTGCCTTTGATTTTTTTATTTTGAGATTGCCTTTTGCTAAGTCTATAAATTGCCCAGGCTGGGGTCAAACTTGAGAGATCCTCCTGCCTTAGCCTCCCAGAGTGCTGGGGTTACAGGTTTGTAGCACCAAGCCTGGCTTTAGTCACTTTTACAAAGGCCAGGGAAGGTATCCTGTTGCCAAGGCAACCAACTGAGGAGTTTGTGGGCTTAACAGGAACACAGGATGTGGATTGCAACTTTAGGACCAGGGCTGCGCATTACCACGACAGTGGACAGTCTGATTACCAGGCTTTGAAGATCCTGTTCTCAGGCTGCGGCAACAATTTCTAAGCCTCCCAAGTCTCAGGAGACCCTTGGCTCTTACAACACCTCAAAGACAATGGCTCTTAGCAAGAACAGAACAAACTTGCATGGATAATAATATTCATGCGAGGTCCCATACCTTCACAGGAAGACAAAGATGGTATTTTTGTGGGCTTTTACTTTCATAATTTATTTTAATTAATGCTTTATTCTTTATTTTATATCTAATTTACTCAAGTTCTTTTAACTAGTGTCTGATGCCGAATAACATTCCATTGTATGGAAAGGGGACACTACCTTCATCTCTGCAAGAGATTCATTTTTTATCACTCATGTTTAAAATTGTGGTAAAACATGTAGAACATAAAACTGACAGTGATAACTGCCAAGCTCAGGGGTGTGAAGAACATTCACAAAGCTGCACACCTGTTACAGCCTGCATTTCACACAACTCCTTTCACCTCCAGGATGAAACTCGGGGCTGGGAGTAGCGTCACATGCCTGTGATCCTAGCACACAGGAGGCTGAGGCAGGAGGCTCCCTGCGAGTTTGAGGGCAACCTGAAGTACAAAACGAGACCTTGTCTCAAAAATAAATAAATATTCCTCACATACAATGTAGAAGTCAAGAGAGTAAAAGGATGGTGAAGGCTAGATACCACAGGACACGCCTATAGCCCCAGCACACTGGGAGGCTGATGCAGGAGGGTCACGAGTTCAAGAGCAGCCTGGGCTGCTAAGCAATTCACTGAGACTCTGTCTCAACGTAAAAAATAAATAGGGCTGAGGATGTAGTGTAATGAAAGGGCCTGGGTTCAATCCAGTACCGCAAAAAATCAAATCCTTAAAAGTAAATAGTAAAATAAATGGGTTTAAACCAACAAGTCCCCAAATCTCAAAGACTTAAAAGGATTCGTTTATCACTAAGCAAGGTCAGATGCCCCTGCTGTCTACGCTACGTGGCCGTGGGAACTCAGTGGGTGGCGGGAGACCGCCCGACAAGTCCTTCGACCCCACCGCAGCTCGCACTAATTCTGTGAAGGCGAGGAGGAAGGATGTGGGTTTCATGGGTCTTTGGTGACCTCTACATCCGCGCACTGGTGTTTCTATTAAATGCCTACTTTACCTGTACGTTCTGTTTTGTATAAATTATAGCAAACAACAAGGGCAGCGAGTGGCAGGTCACACTGTGTTCACCCAGCACCATGTCCTTAAGATCTATGTTATTAGCTGGCCATGATGGCGCACACCTGTAATCCCAGCCCTCCGGGAGGCTGAGGCAGGAGGATCTCAAGTTTGAGCAGAGCCTGGGCAGTTCAGCAATCTGCTGAGGCCCTCTCTTAAGATTTTAATGTGGGCTGGAGATACAGTTGAGCGCAAAGGCCCTGGGTTTGATCCCCGGTGCCACACAGTCCATGGTGTTCACATCTGGTCCTTCGTCTCCACCACACGTACCGCCATTCCTGGTATCAGTGGTCGTCATAGACTCCGGAAGTTCGGGATCTAAAGCAACAACGGGCACCTTGTTAGCTCTTGAATGTGCGAACTGGGTACTCCCAGCAGGAAGGCTCCTCCCCGCCACATGGCAGGGGAACCAACCAGAGCGCTCTCCACTCGTCTCAGGTGAGTCTGCTGGAGCCCTGGCTCAGTCAGGGTTCTTCATAGAAAAAGAACCAATCGAAGATAGACCAAGACATAGAGATGACAGCCATAGTGGTAAAGACAATAGGGAGACAGAGGCATCCACAGAAAGAGTCTGAAGATGAGGAATTGGCCTGTGCAGGTACGGAGGCTGAGAAGTCCCACAGTCTGCTGGCTGCTACCCAAAGCCCAGCAAGAGCCAGGTGTATAAGGTCTGTGTCCCCAGGCAGGAGATCCCTGCAGATGGTGCAGGGACAGAAGGCGGAGGAGATGTCCTGGCCCCCCTGTGAGGCAGAAAAGGGCAGGCAGGGATCCTCCTTCCTTGGCTTGTTGCTCTAAGTCCCTGATGGAGTGGATGTGTCACTGAGACCCAGCCCCAACATTCTGCTCCTCCGGAAGCAGCCTCAAAGACACCCAGAAATAACGTGACCCAGGGACCGTGTGGTCCAGGCACACTGACAGAGTCAACCATCACAGGGGCTGGGCCGGAGCTTTACACACACAAGGCCCTGGAACCCATTCCCAGGACCAAAACAGACAACAACCAAGCCAGGTATGGCGGTGTGCACATATGTGCACTCCAGGAGGCTGAGGCAGGAGGGTTGAGAAAGTTTGGGCCACGTCTGGACAACTCTGATTTAGTGAGACAGCTTGAAAATAAAAATAAGTGAATAAAAGGGTTAAGGATGTAGTTAAGTGAAAAGACCCTTGGTTCAATCCCAGTGCCCCTCAAAAAAAAAGAGACTCCAGAGCCAGGGATTTAGCTCAGTGGTTCCACCGCCTGCCTCCCAAGCGCAAAGACCCAAGTTCGACCCCTGGTACCAAAGATAAAAATAAAAAAAAGGCAACCCCGTTTTACCCATTTTACTGTATGGAACCTCAGATTACCTGAAAGTCTCCGTGACCAGAAACATTGCCATCAGCACCCCACCCGGGCCCCCCTGGATGCCCTGGCCATCACCTGGTGGCCTCCAGGGAATGACCGCAATCCAGGGCCTCTACCTAACAGCAAGTGCCTGTGCTCGCAGTGAAGGTGGGGGATGCCGCCCTCGCGCAAGACCCCGTCCCAACTCTGCTCCCTCATCGCAGACAGCAGAGTTCACCATCCTGCCCCTCCTGCCCGCCCTTGTCTGCCTGCAGTCTTTATTACATGAAAATCTGTTTAAGGACTTTTGCGGGGGAGGAGGGGTACTTGGGATTGAACCAGGGATTTTGCACTGAGCTACATCCCCAGCCCGCTCCTGAATGATTTCAAGAGCAGGAAAGAAGCCTGAGACCAGTGAATGTGAAAAGAGCGCTGCTCTAAGCCCAGCTGAGAAGAAACTCAAGGCAGCAGCTAAGTGCTCCCACCTCGCAGGCACCACTTCCCCATTGCCGCTCCCCCCAGAGCTCCGGGACCACCCGCAGACGCCAGGAATTAAATGGCAAAAGGGAAAAGCGAGTTCTTTCCCCCGCGCCGAAGTGGACAGGTGTCCTCTAGGGAACATCACAGGTGTTGATTGACAGCACAGAATTTCTTCGTGGAGTGATTTCAGAAACGGCTAAGATTCTAAAGGAGCTCAGTTCTCCGAAATAAGGACTCTCTCACAGCACATAAACTTTATCTTTTGGTTTTTTGAGACAGGGTCTCATTATGCAGCTCAGGATGGCCTTGAACTCACTATGTAGCCCAGGCTGGCCTCAAACTCATGGTGATCCTCCTGCCTCAGCCTCCTGAGTGCTGGGATGACAGGCGTGCACCACCACTCTGGGTTCAGCATGTACACTTTAAACCCTGCACCATGACTTCTCTCGTGAACATTCAAACACACGCATGTGTGCGCACACACACACACACACAACTAGACTAACAGCCACACAGAGATTCAGCTGCATAAGCACACAAACACATTTTCATGTAGTGACAGAGACACAAAAACACAGATCCACACGTACACACACACAGTGTCACACAAAAGCACACCCTTGCCGGGCGTGGTGATGCACGCCTGTAATCCCAGCACTTGGGAGGCTGAGGCAGGAGAATCATTTTGAATATGACGCCAGCATGAACTACATAGCCAGACACTGTCTCACAAAACCGAAACAAAAAACAGCAACAGCAACAAAGGACACCCTCACATACAGACACACTCACACAAACACACAGACACACTTTTGCATACGTACAACACTAAAAAAGAATATATCATTAACAAAGAGGACTTGGTAAATGAACAGTACTTTCTATTTTAAAAAGTGTAATGGTAAATTAGTTTCTTCCCAGAGCCGTTAAATAAATGTTGAGCCAATAATTAAGACAAATCTAGGCTTGGCAGTGTGCCAGACTGCAGGCCCTAATCCCTTGGCTCAGGTCTTTGGGGACAGATGCGCTTCAGAACTCAGGATGGCTCCAATCTTAGGCCCAGTTCAACCAAGGCATTTTCCCAGGGGCCTGAGGAGGCGCCCTGCCACCAGCACACGTTATTTTTGCAGCAAAATGTGTGAATATTCACACCAAAGAAGATAAATAAATAAGTAAAAGGGCTGGGGATTTAGCTCAGTGGTGTTGCTGCCTCCTCGCAAGCGCAAGGACCGAGTTCGATCCTCGGTACCGAAAAGAAAAGAAAAGAAAGAAAGAGTATAAACAGCTCCTATTCGGTGATTTGCTTCCTTGTGAGACTGGAGCAAACGTATCCCCCACCCCTTACAACGTTCAGTTTTCGGAATTCGGAATTGCAGATCCTGGTTAGGACACGCAGCCGCTCACCCGGGCAGCCTACGATTGTAAATTTTCTTGGTGGGGCGGGAGGAGGGCCCGGAAAACGGCGACTCTTGAGTGCCCCCTCCTGGCAGCCCAAACCTCGAAAATCAGCTGCCCATTCATAACGTCAGTTTAGGCAGGAGGATCACTGATGAATTTGAGGCTCCCGCAATTTAGCGACATAACAATAACATGACTCAAAATAAAAATGGCTGGGGATGTAGCTCAGTGCAAAGGCTTGGGTTCAATCCCAAGTACCACATGTGAATGGATCCCACAGTTGAAGCCGGATAAAGGACTGGGTCCTGATTGGCCCAAAATAATCCTGACTTCACTTGTGTGGTTCAGGAATTCAATTCCTAACCAATCGGTTCCTGACAAATTTCCCGACACAGAAGTTAGGTCTGAGTTTGTCATGTGACCTGTGTTCATCCAATCAGAATGAAGGAGAGCCCTTTGGTTCACCAGTAGGGTCAGGGCCTCCACAATGAGCTCAGAAGTGTTTGGATCTCTCTTATCTCAAGGCTCTTCAAACTGGAAAAGCAGTGGCTTGGGGGGTGAGGCCATCCCGATGCACAGAAAGAACTAGCAATGCTGGAGGTCCCTGTGGTGGCTACGGAAGTACCCAGGCAGCTCTCTTAAGAGCGAGTGCTGCCTGGATTCCCAGCATGGTTCTCTTAGCCCACTGAACTCCCATCCCAACCCTGCCCTCTCTGGATCATCCCGCCCATCTGGATCACTCCCCTGAAACGTGAAATCTGTGAGCACAGGCCTGTGGCTGTCACGGTCACCCCATGTCCCCAGCACTGACCCCCCAAGGGAATCCCCACCATCTTGACAGCCCTGGCTGTCCCCAGCCCTCTGCTACAGCTTGACACCAGCCATGGGTGATTATTACGATCTCCTCTCGTGCATAAGGAGACCAAGGCGAAGGATCCTTCTGAGATCCTGAATCCCATGAAAAGAAAGGCCAGGCATGTGGTGTACATCTGTAACCCCAGAGGCAGGAGGACTACAAATAGAGCCCATCCTGGACAATTTAGTGACTTAGCAAGACCACGCTTCAAAATAAAAAATAAAAATGGCTGGGGATGTAGCGCAGGGCTAAGGCCCTGTGTTCAATCTGCGGTTCCACAAACGTTATCAACCCCTGAAAGGCAGAAGTGAATCTCTGAGGTTCCTCTGGACTGTGACAGGTGGGAGTCAGGGGGAGGCTACCAAGGGGAGTGGGGTTATTGGAGCAGGGAGAGGGAGGAGAGAGGCAGGGAGAGCGCTCAGGAAGAGGCAGGTCCCAGCCAGGCGGCCCCACCCCAAGAGCTCAGACCCCTCCTCGGCTTGCAGCTCGAGTCTTCCTCACCCGCCATGGCCGGTCCAGTCACTTGTATCTTCGGAGCTCCCTGTCCCCTGGCAGCTTGCGCATGAATAGCAGCGGGTGTAGCAGTTGTCCCTGCCGATGGGCTCAAAGCAGGTATCCCCCCAACAGCAAGCACACGAATGTCCACGGCAGCACAGCACACAACTGGAGAGGCAGAAGCAACGTCAAGGCCCACGCACTGAGGCGCGGGCCACAGAGTGTGGTGGACGCGGATGAGCAATGTCACAGCCACAGGCAGCAACCAAGAGCAGGCCAGCAGGGGGCAGGGACAGACCCGGGCCCACAGCCAAGAGAAGCCGGGCACCAAAGGCACGCATGCCCAGCTCCATGCGCACAAGACGTCTGGGGCAGCTCGAGACCCTAGTGACACAGGCTCTGGGTCCACTGCCGTCACCCTTCCCCGACCCAGGACTACTGCCCCTCACCAGGATCCCAGCTGCCACTGTCACCAACTATGTGGCCATCCAAGGTTCTTCTTGGCACCTGAGTCAGCTCAGAAGTCTCATGTGGCTGCCACCTCATTTCAAGGAAAAGCCCAACTCCACCTTGGTAGGGGCAGGGTGCGGTGGTGCCCACCTGGAATCCCAGCACTTGGGAGGCTGAGGTAAGAGCACTGCTGTGAGGTCAAAGGCAACCTAGGCTACATAATGAGTTCCAGGCCAGCCTGAACCTCCTAGCGAGACCCTATCTCAAAACTAAACTAACGAAACCCAAGTCCACCTTGCGGCCCCAGCTCACTGCTCAGCTCCCCGCCTCTCCCATACAGTCACTGTGTGAGCCTCAGCAGCCTCAGGGCCTTAGCACTTGCTGTTCTCTCGGCCTGGGGTTCTGCCTCTAACTTATCCCTAGGGACCTCCTCACCCTGCTACAGTTTGCTCTTCTGTGTTTGTTACTACGTGACAAAACATATATGTATGTTGTTGATCATATTTCTTGTGTTTTTCCACTAATAACATCCGTTCTAATGAGATCAGGAAGTTTTGTCCAGGCAAGGTCTCCCTATTCGCCTTGAGCTCACCGTGTAGTCCAGGATGGCTTCCAACTCTTGCCCATCCTCCTGCCTCAGCCTCCCGAGTGCTGAGATCACAAGGGTGCACCACCATGCCTGGCTGACATCAGGAATTTTTGCCTGTTTCCTTCAGTGCTATGTCCCCTATGTCTAAAATAAGTTCCCCTAGGCTACATAGTAAGTTCTAGGCCAGACTGAAATACATAATGAGATCCTGTCTCAAAAAGAAAAAACAAAACATTTAATTAAAAAAAATTTTTAAAAACAATAGTAAGTCCCAGCAAGCTGGGTGTGATGGCCCATGACTGTAATTCCAGCACTCTGGGAGGCTGAGGCAGGACAATCACAAGTTTAATCTGAGCCTGAGAAACTCAGCAAAGCCTTGACTCAAAAAAAAAAAAAAAAAAAAAAATCAATCCCTGGTACCAAAAAAAAAAAAAGTGGGGGGAAAAAGTGGGGCTGGGGATGGAGCTCAGTGCCAAGACCTTGGGTTCAATGCCTAGGACCCCCCCCCCCAATGCACAGAGTAGATGCTCAAAAAATGTGGTAACTCAAGGGGGACTGGGAATTTAGCTCAGTGGTTCTGCCGCCTGCCTTGCAAGTACAAGGTCCTGAGTTCGATCCCTGGTACAAAAAAAAAAAAAAGTTAAGGGAAGGACTAACGGAAGGGGTCAGAGAAGCAGGAGGAGAGAGCAGGGAAGGAAACGGAGGTTGGGAAATGTGGGGACAGGAAAAAACAGCAAGTTGGGAGGAGGAGTTGAGGCAAGACAGGGGAGAGAGATGGGTAAGAAACACAGAGCTGGGCATGGTAGCTGGAGGCTGAGGCAGGAGGACTGCTCCAAGTTCAGTGCCAGCCTGGACTACATAATGAGCTCAGACTCACTGAACGGCCTGTCTCAAGGGCCCCCACCCCCCAAAAAAGAAACACAGCTGGGGTGAACAACAGAGCGGACAAACTGAGTCAGAGATACAGAGCCAGAGACTGTGTAGAGAGACATCCAGGAAGACAAAGACACAGACTGAGAGAAGGAGAAAAATGGGGCTGTGGAGAGACTATGGAGAAGACGACGGAAAGGGGACGGAAGACGGAGACAGTGAGGCTGGGAGGAGCGCTGGAAACCAGGAAATGAGGGCGCAGTGGGAACAGAATGGGGAGGCCCCAACTCACTACCTGCTGTGTCCCGGGCTTTGGGCTGACTCAACACCGTCTGGGATCAGAGCTGCACTTCTGAAAGCCCAAGAGGAGCCAGGGGGTGGAGAGAGCGCTTCGGACCAGTTCCATCCTCACTGCACGTCCCTGAAGTCTCCACTCTACAGGCCAGAGGAGTGGGGTAACCCGCTCGGTCACACAGGTGATGAAAGCAAGAGCCACCGTGGAAGACGGGCGCCAACCCTAAAGCCAGTGCCCAAGCCACAGCCTCTGCCGCCTGGAAGGATCAATGCCTTCCCGCCTTCCTCTTCCAGCCTAGCACCCTCTGGGGAGGCTGTGGAGAGGCACAGCTGACACTCCAGTCACATCCTCAGACCTTCCCAGGGCTCAGCTTAGGGAGCCTGGAAAGTCGCCACCCCAAGAGGGACCGGAAGCCACTTCCAGCTCAAAGGGCCCCTGCAGAGCCAGGCCGCGGTCCTGGGAAGGAACAGGGCCCTCCTCTACCCCCACTCCTTTGCAAAAGCCGGATTGGAGCTTCCCAGACGCAGGCCAGAGCTGCTGTCCTCCTTGGCAGAGGCAGCCCAGTGCTGTAGCAATTTCACCCTGTCCTCGCTGATCCCGGAGAGAAAGCAGGCGCCTGTCCCTCCCGAAAGCATCCTAAGGTCGCAGAATGATTCTGCCTCCACCCCTGTCATTTTACTACCCTGACAGCAATTCTCAGTCTGTCCTCGTCTAGCAGGAGGGCAGACTGCCGGCTCCTTTCAGACAGGGACTTGTCCTCTACGACAGCTCACGAGCACCTGAAGTCCTTCCACAGTATGACCTTCAGGGGTCCGGCTGATAAGCCTCTTCTCACCACCCATCCCAAAGGTAGGCGAGAAGGGAAAAAGCACAGGGCTCCGGGGAAGGGGGAACCCGCACCCCCTCCGGGCAAGGGACACCAAGGCCAGGCCCCAGGAGTTCTCACGGCAGACGAGGCGGGAGGCACCTAGGCAGACACCAGGACAGGCAAGCGGGCAGCTGGGCTGGAGTTTATTGCAGACGGACATAAGGATGGGAGAGGACCGGGTGGCTCTGATCAGCATCCTATCGGGCGGGGGTCGCAGGCTTGACCGTGGAGGAGCTGTCACAGGGGCACAGGGCCAGCAGCCCGGCCCCTCCTTCAGGGTGATGGCTCTGGAGACGCCGGGCGAAGTCACCAAGAGCGAGCATGGTCCTGTGGACAGCGGCGTGGTGGGGACCATCGGGGCGGGGAGGGGGTTACCCGGGTCCTCGGCCCCCCGCATCCTCGGGCTTCTCT